ATTTCTGTCCTTCTCTTTTCCATTTCCCTTTATTCCCCATCTTTTTTTTTTTTTTTTTTTTTTTTTTTTTTTTTTTTTAAGTTTAGCTGTGCCCAGCACATGGGGAGGAGTTGTATCTGCTTGATTTTGGCTTAGGGCAGAAACTGTAATAAATGACTGGGACATCAGCAGGACATCTTAGAATACTCAAATACACTGACTGTAAGATCATTTTTAGACTGTTGGCCCGTCTGAGGTCATTGGTCTGCCAGTCCACCATTAATTGGCCCTCATTAATAATGCTAAAAATGCAAGTGCACTTTCATTTTCAGCCTTTGAGGACTGTCTGCATTCCTTTGGTTTCTGCCATTTTCTTTACCCTTAACTAATGCTGTAGTTATTTTGTTTGTCAACATTTAGAAAGTTTTACATCATATTTGAGTTTATACAGTAGTCTAAGAGTGGATTTAGAAATGTCGTGCCTCATATAACAATGTGAAATGCATTGCAATTAACAGAATTGAGTTTTTACAAACATTTAATTATTGAGTAATTGCTATTGACAAATCTGCTTGCATTACACTGAGCAAGTCACTTAATGAAGAGACCTACAGCCACCCTACTCTTTCATGATTTAGCTGAAAGCGTTTTTCCTGTTCATAGCTTGCCAAGCCATTATATGGAAAATAGTACTGAGGTTCCTCAAACAAGTACAGATAGAACTGCCATATGATCCATCAATCCCACTGCTGGGTATGTACCCAAAGGAATGGAAATCATGTCAAAGGGAGTCCTGCAATCCCATGTTCATTGCAGCTCTATTTACAATAGCCAAGAGTTGGAACCAACCTAAATGTCCATTGTTGGAGGACTGGATCAGGAAAATGTGGTATATATACTCAATGGAATACTACACTGCCATAAAATAAAATGAAATTCTGCCATTTGCCACAACATGGATGAACTTAGGGAAAATTATATTAAGTGACATAAGCCAGGTACAGAAAGAGAAATACCACATGTCCTAATTCATAAATGGGAGCTAAAAAAACAAATAATAAAAAAAAGAAAGATAATAACAATCAGAATAATTCATTGAACTTTCAAAAGGAGAGAACAGAACTGATGCTACTAGAGGTGGGGGGGGGTATTGAGAAATTGGTAAAGGGCCACAAAAAATGATTACATTATGTACTGTTGAATATACTAATTATCCTGGAAAAAAAAAATACAAAACACAACAAAGCTTGCCAGGTATTGTTAATGTTGCCTGTAAATTCTTATAATTGTTCTAGATACTTCCTATGTGTGCTGTAGGAATATCCCTGTTATTTTTAATCATACACTTGAATAAAACTTCAAACTACTGCTTGTCCTGTTTGATAAAAAACATTTGTTTTGAAAAAAGTTGTTTGGTTTGGGGTCGGTTTGGCCTTTAGTGTGAGTGGTGTTTATTTTTGAGAAGTTAGGCATTTTTAATGTATCTAATAAAAATTCTTTTAGCTGGTTTTTTATATCTCTTTTTCATTTTACAGCAAAAACCCTGTGTACAAGTAATTTGCAGTTCTAAATAGTGATCATTATTTTTTAAAATAGCCCTTATGGCAGTTAGTTCTAACCTGTTTTAACTTGCAGTTGTTTGTGACTTGTATGCATAGACATAGATTTTATTCTGTTTTATCAGAGGACTAAACCATTTCCCTAGGGTAATAGGCACATTTGAGAAAGCATTCATTTTTTCAAGTCTAAAGGTTACCGTTAAATAAATTGCCACTGCGGTGCTTAAAATTTTGGGCACTCTAACTCTTAAAGCCTAAAAGAGCCAATGTACCTTCTAGTGTGCCAGAATTAGCACCCTGAAGGAGTTTAATCTAGTCAGTTTATACTTAAACATTTTAAAAAAACATTAGCACACGACCCTTTTCCTGGTCTTTGTGACTTTTCATAACATTTCATCTATTTCTCCTTCCTTTTTTGCTTTGGAGCCTACAAATAAATTTCATCTCGAATACATTATCTTTTCATGTGTATATGTTTGTAAATTATTCTTTAACCTCAGATAATCTCTTCCCCAGCCTTGAATGTTGTTTTTGGTTTTGTTTTAGGGGTCTAGGCTGAAATAGGTGGCAAACGATATAACATCCAAAAACCACATTTCAAGTTTTATTGCTCGAAAGTCTGGCCCCAATCTGCGTCCTCTTAGATCAGATTATTTAGTCAAGCCCTCTCCAAGTTACAAATGAAGAAACAGATTCCAGGACATCCCCAAGATGCAAACAGACCAATTGGTTCTAGAAAGCAATTAGAACCAAGATCTCCTGGTTTCTTGCCTCTCATAATTAAGCTTTAGAAGCAAAAGTACCCACTTGGGATCAGGGTCAAATACTTAATTTTACTTATCTATTTTTGGCATTTAGGGATAGAAATTGTCACAAATATAACATTGACTTCACCTCATACCCTTGAATGCTTTGCCACTATAGCTGATTGTGAGTAGTGTGTGTTTTCCTTACCAATAGACCCTGGATGTGCAGGCGTGTTTGATGAGAGGTAAGAAATATTTCGGAGTAGCATAGCCTAAACCATTGTTGTACGGAACATGATGCCACTTGATCTTCTTTGAAGGGAAAAAAAGAGTTCCGTGGTCAAATAATTTTAGTAAATGCTCTCTTACGCAAAGCTAAAGAGGTTTCTTTACTTCCAGATTTTTAGAGCCTTTACTGTATTAGTATGCATTGTGAATAGCCAAGAGGAGGGGTTGTAGGAGCAGGCTTCCCCCTTCTCTGAGGAACCTTTGTTAACTTGTTCCTTGTAATGCAGTTTGGGAAACAATGAGTGTTGCATTCTGATTCTTTCCGGTTCATCTTACTGTGGCATACCTAGTTGGCAGTACTCAAAGGCATATTAAAATTTAGCAGTCCAAACAATTTTTGTTTATGCACAAGGCCTTATTTACTATTTATTTGGTGTGCTGTTTTTTCTGTGCTTCAGTATGCTAAAAGTTACACATTATGCTTCAAACATGTTGCTAATTTCTGTAGTTTCTTATAAGCATGTTTTAGGAATAGTTACAATAAGATCATCTGTTAAATTTATAGCAGCACCCAGTCTTTATAGTGCACTGCAGTTTTGAATCCAAAGCTTTGGCAGGGAGGGAAGGGAGATTTAGAGACAGTGTCAATTCTGCTACAGTTCCCAAGTGGCCATGTGCTCTGCCACAAAGGGAGAAATGAATTCCTAAATCACAGTGTCACATGAACGGTTCCAAAAGATTAGTGGTGTATGTTATGGACAGCATCCTCCAGGGGCTCCTTGAGTGGCCAGTTGCTGTCAAACGTACCACCTGTCAGCCTTCCTGGTCAATTCTAGTCCTCTTCATGCACACTAAAGAACAGTGTTTTCATCACCAAGCACTCTCTGCCAGTGGACCATATCTCACCCTGCTCCTTTGGACAGGGGTGGCATCAGAATTGCCTGTGCCTCTTCTGTAGAGCCAGAAACATTCCTGCTTTAAACAAAACATTTATACCTGGATGACGTTGAGGACATTCCCTAGTTCTGTGCTGGAGTTTTAATATTCCCATAGTTGGTTAACGTTGCAAACCTCATCCTTTGTTCATGTGAATAGTTTAGAGTAATTTAAAGTGATCTCTGGGTATTTTTGTTAATGCTACTGTAAGCAGTCTTTTAGGTTATGTGACCTTATTTTAAGGATAAGGAAGTTGCAGCTCAGCCAACTAAGCCATTTTCCCCAGGTCTCACATTAAAGAAAACGTAGTTATAAACTATATATTACAGGGTTATAATTTTCTTGCTTCTCCTAATTCCCTCCAAACCTTGCCCTGAAAGACTTCATCTATAGGGAGGGTGCTTTTTTTCAAGAACAGACTGTTCTTTAATACATTATAAATTGAGCAGAGAAGTTGGCTATATTATCATGATTGAATTGAACGCTAGAAATGCTTCACTGCAGAAGTGGCTACCTTTGGTGAGTCAGACTCAGCCCCCCCCCCCGCCCCCCTTGCTTATTCAACTAAGCCATGCTTCACAGTGGAAATTTGCTTTTTACCTACTGTTTTGTTGGAGGTGTTTCAAAAAAAAAAAAAAAAACAGATATAGACTGGATGTGCTATTTAAATTAATTACATTGGCAACTTGGACATTTTTTCTAGCTAGTGTGCTTTCTGTATGGTATTTAACAATTTACCTAGAAAAATATACTCACTGGTTTTACTGGATATGCCCCACCATGTATTTGAACTCGTAGACCTTTTTAGGAAACTTATTATCACTTTTATAATAATAATACTATAACCGAAACAGGAAATAAAGCCCTGTTCAGGCCATTGAACACCTCTTTTATTACAATATATTTTTTTCCCTCTAGCCAGAATTTCTTATTTCTTCTCACAATGTAAGAAAAATTCTTTTCTGGTGATCTAGAAAGTAATTTTTGGATGAGAATTTCTCTCTTCTAAGTAATGATATTGGTAAAGGCATTTCCCCCACAAATACCCAGTGGCTCTTTTCCTTGCAATTTTTAGATATTACTGTTTGCTGCTGATATATAACTTTCTTACCTATGAAATCTCTAAATAGTGAGGAAAATCTTTCAGCCCTAAGGGACCTTCCTACCGAAACCATCTGCTTAGGCCTTGTATATATTTGGACACATTTTTGAAGCTTCGGTGTACAGTATTACAGTCACTCTCTTGGGATGGAGAAACTCAATGTATCATAGTGAATACCTAGATTATATCTCTTCCTCTTAAACTATTTACCTGCCTGCAACCAAAAGTTCATTTGAACCTTCCTCAGAAGTTCAGTGTTTAGCCCTACTTCTTCTTATGGTCCATTTATTGTAAGCAGGGTTTACAATAAGAACTTGCCAAGATGAAGAGAAGTACTGTGCTGTTCAAGATACTGATAGTTTAAGATACTAATACTTTAAAATACAAAAGTTACTAAGGCAGATCAGATCTGTGGAGAAGAGTAACAAAACAATGTGAAATGGTACAATAATGGAGATCAGACCACCAGAGTGTTGCTATGAAGGCTTAAGGAGTAGACCGAGTCTTCTGCTTCCTTTGCTGCCTCCTATGGAAGTACACAAACTTGGCAAGCCACAGTTGGCTCTCTTCCCAAGTTCTGGGAAACTTTACAAGGATCACAAGGATTGGTACAAGTTGCCTGATAATCTGCAGCATTCTCTCTGTGATTTAGCTGCCATTGTGTTAGCAAATTTCCACATATCAGTATGCAGCTGGTCCCATCTTTCCCACTAGCCTCTGAGGTTTGTAATCTATACTTTATTCTGTTCTCTTTTCAGCCAGGTTGGGTTTTGAGGTCCTAGGGCCTTCTTTATTCTTGCTTTTTATTTGCATGTGTATTTTTATCCATTTCCTGAGGGCAATTGTAAATGCTTAGCTGAATTGTCAGTCAATCTCAGTGTTGCTCCAATCTTCAGAGGTTAAGTCCCACCCTATTTAAAGTTTAAGTGTTTTGAATGAAAGGTGGTGTGTAGATATGGGTAGTAAAAGTGCAGAGTAACTTCTGAGGCCTTGTAGATGTGCTCAATTCATCACTAGTTAAGTTTATGTGCATACTGTCAGGCTCTGGATTAGGAAAGATATTTTTTAAGAAGGAAAGTTGAGTTGCTGAGCCAAGTAGGAACTTTGAAAGTCTCAGGTTACTTTCTATAAATGGAAAAACCTCTGAATCATTAAAAAAAAGTTCCTGTTAGAATCTTGAATGAAAATGCTTACAGAATTTTTGATCCATTCAACTCTATTAGCCATCCTTTTGAAAAGCTGCATTTCATTCTTTAGAACCACATTTCAATAACATTGAGGTCCTTGGGGTGAGGGCATGGTGGGGGAGGAGGATCAGATTGGGAACACTTAGAATTGATTATCCATCCCTGGTGAAATTAAACTGCTCAGTGGATCACATTGATATGATGAAAGTCCAACCCTGGGCTTCCAAACAAGGTGTTGGTCTTATCCAAGTCTTCATAGTCATTGTTTTTTCCTAAGCATTGCGCTTGCTGATTTAGGTGTTGGTCAGAATATCCATTTCCTATAGCAGTTTTTATTCAATTAAATGTGCTTTCATTGGGTAATTCCTAATTAGAGACCATCTTTGTGTCTAGGGATGAACTTTGTATATTTAATTGTCTTTTGGTAGGGTGTTTGAGAATTTCAGTTAATGTGACCATAACTAAGCTTTAAAGGCAAAACAGCACAAAATGTCCTGTCTCAGTCTTGCTTCACTTCCTCTGTCAAAGGAAGGAGAGACAGATTAATCACGTAAGAAGTTGCAGTAAAAGCAAAATCTGAAAAGTGCGATTTTAAGGATCATTTTAGAGTTATAACTATAAATTACACATCAAGATTATTCATTATGGCTTGTTATAATGGAGAGGCTTGGAAACCGCCAGCAATTTGACCACTGAATACACGGTAGCAATTTTAACCAAGAAGCTTACTACACTGAAAATGTTCCCTGACACTGTAGTACTCTCCCCTCTGCACCCCACCTCCTCAAGCCTAGCATGGAAATACTGACTTTTGGGAGCATTTTAATAGACATCTGAAATTTCGATGAAATGCTTTTTTCAATTTTGACTTTGTTTGGCTCTTTTAAGACTGATTATGCTGTTGAAAAAATACTAGCACTTCAGAGAAGAAAATAGCTTTGGGCTGGGGTGTGGAGAACAGTTTTAAATCATTGCCAAATCTTCAGAATTTAATAAGGATTTTTTGCTGATTTTTATTTGCTATAGGAACTCACAGAGAGCAGTCCAATGACCAATAAAAATAATGCTTTATTGCCAGGGATGACATCAGTTAAGATTATTTGCTGATAACCTAAGTAGCTTTGCATTATAGCAGGCCCTGTACTTTTTTTTCATTATCAGTGATCTGAATAATCGATGAGAGATTAACCACATGCAAAATGAAATATTGAAGGAGAATCTCATTTTGTGAGCAGCTTAAAATGGTTGGAGGGGGCACTTTTTGAGAGTTATTTCTGTTTTTATCCATTGAAAAGCAAATTGTTTAAATTATTTAAAGAAAAAGTACAGGATTATGTCTGGTGTACTAAAAACATGTAGGATGTTAGTAGGTACAATCCCTGAGTCAATGAGAGAGAGTCTGTGGCAGTAATTCTCAGCCCTAGTTGCAAATTGGAATTGTCACGTGGGGAGTTTCCAGAAAAAATTAAATATTAAATGAAAGGCACAGGCATCAGTATTGTGTTTAAAGCTACTGTGTGGACAGGATTAAGAATCACAGATCTATGGCTAAGTAATAAATTTAAGTCTGCCAACACCTAGAAAGGATAGAGAGGTAGGCTTTGTTTCTGACCCTGTTCCTGCTTTTATAGTGACAGTCTTGTACTGAAGTCTCTATTTTTCCTTAGTTCTTTACCTAGTCACTGGTCTAGAGGCAATCAAGAAACAATTTCTGCTTCAAATGGCTTTCCATTTTTTTATGACTAGCAAATACGTAAGATTTTAAGATAGTACTGGTGGTACTTGGAAAAAGTACTACTTGAATATGAGTACCATTTTACTTTATTTTTATTGAGAGGCTATTTTTGGTATAAATTACTTGCTTTTTCTTTTAAACAATATTTAGTTTATACTGTGAAAGTGTAAATCAAGAATACAAAAGGTTGATTTTTATCCTGAGTAAGAAATTTAAATTGCTTTCTCTGTTAATTCATATATTATAAATATACTTCTTAATATTTTTCCGTACTTTTTATGTAGTGTGTGGTGTGTCATTAGAATAGAGTTCATGCCAGCATATTTCAAGTTAAAAAAAAAATGCAGTTCCTAAGGACATTTGGATGGGAAGCAGTTCGGCACAGGATGGACTCCTGATGAATTAAAATTCATTATGAGGTGGCAGGAATCATACACTCCCACTCCACACTACATTGCATGCCATCCAAATGGGAAGCTTTTTTTATTATTCCTACTTGGAATTTCTCTGCCTTGGCAAAGGTACCTGCATTATTCAAAAATCACAAGAACTGACACCACTGTTTTAACACTCTACATTGGCAGCAAGTAGAAAATTGCAGTGAATTTACACATGAGTTCAGCATTGCCATTTTTATGTGAACTAAACAGTATTACACAGTTGCAGGAAATTTCACCAGAGACTGCAGGTTCATCAGATTTTAGGAAGAAATAGGCAAGGAAAAGTCATCTACTTCTTACTGCCCCACCCTCATTCCTTAGGCCTCTCCAAATCCAAACCTGCCTGGCCTTATTTTGGAAACTGCTCAGAACTGGACATTCTACAGCTTCTTTCGGTCCCCTATTTCATCATTTAACAAATATCACTGATAGGATCTACACACACAACTCCCCTCCCTCAAACCTGCACAATAATTTCAATCCATTTTCTCCAATATAATGGAGATACAGGTCACTTAGGCCTTATTCCAAAGAGATCAGAGAGAGAATGTATGGGGAAAGCTCTTAGTAAAACTGTAAATGCCATTCAGCTGTAGAGAATTTATTAAAATATGATGTGCCTGAAAAAATTTCTTCCTTTTGTTCCCTGACACGGAAGGAAGCTGAAGATGATTCAGAATTGGCGAAGTACTAGTTCAGTCTTGTTTTAAGTTAATCATTGGCCCTGTGATTGAGAGGGGAAATCTATATTGGCAGTGCAGGAAACATCCTGCTTCACTGACCTTCTACCTTCTTTTCCTCTTCTCCCTTTCTACTTGTAGAATGACTTGAGAACTTGCATAAATGGTATCTCTTCCTTATCTACTCTATATCCACTTCTTGCTTGAGTGAAAAATGAAACAGCCATATGAGTATTATATTAAAGGTTGCAAATTGCAGCTTATGTATGGACTTGACATTTTCTGTAATTCAAATTGGTACATTTTAAGGATCAAGTCTGTTCTGAAGACTACAGAGAGGACTTAACCTGCAACAGAAACTAAATAAACTATACATCTGGCAGGTGCATTCACTGTCAGTTCAGGTTTTGCAAAATAAATATTATGGCAAATTTAGTGCTTTTATCAGGAAGTTGTGTCAGACCATGTATACTACTTACCGTTGCAAACAGAGAAGTCAGTTTATGAATCAAAGTTGGTAAAGGTATTGTTTACTTGTTTCCAGGAACTGTTTGAAAGTTTGCCTGCAAATCACTTACTCTTAGTATGCTAAGAACCTTGGACAATCAGTTGTTTTAACGCCCTGTCTTTGGGCAGGTGGGTAGATAGCTAAGATATCCTGCACAGGTACTTAAAGACTTTTTCAAGATCTCCAGGGATCCCACAAATTCTGTTAGACCATGCCAGGGTAGTTTTCTAGAAGTTACCCTTTATATACAGCCTGAATTTCTCTCTTCAGTTTATCTCAATTACTTTTTGAGTGATTCCCTAAAAATCTTGAAGGAAGTACCCCACTAAATAATTATTTCATATGCTTAAATGAAAATGGCAAGGCAAGAGGTTTTATCTATACTTCGGGATGATTTTTGGTTTTTAAACTAAGAAATAATTTTCTGTATAATATCAAGATAAGGTACACAAATTCAGATTGATCCAAACATAGTAGACATTTAGAAAACTTTGCAAGCTCTAGTCTTGCTTAAAATTATTATTTTGAGGGTAGGGATTTACATCTATAATCTTTAACTAGATCATTGAAAGGAAGGAAAATCTTTATGACTACATATTTAAAACATTTTAGGTTGGGGAAATTATCTTTTTAAAACACAATAATGGAAATGTGCAAATTGATCTTGTTTTCTATCATACTTCCTTTGACTTAAATATTTGGTAGTCTCAAACATGATGATAGAGTACCATCAAAGGAGACTATTCCAAATTTATGTAAGAAAGTATATTATTCTGATTTAAGAGAAGAAAGAGTGAAGCCTCAGTGAAATTAAAGGGTGAGATAAAATAAAGCCCAACCGTGGAACTTCTGGATTTAGTGAATCAACTTTTTTTTTTTTTGTCTTTTTTGTGACCAGTAAGGGGATCGCAACCGGCCATCCCTATATAGGATCCGAACCTGTGGCGGGAGCGCAGCTCCCAGTGCCGCACTCTCGCGAGTGCGCCACGGGGCCAGCCCGTGAATCAACTTTTTAAAAATGTAAAAGTGGCAGTAGAAATATATTGTGTGAAATGGGACTTTACAACAATAGGCTCTGAGAGATTGCAAAGGAATCTCTTTCCTGGAAAGCCAAAGAATTAAAAAGTTTCTTTGTAGAAATTGTTGGTCATTCCATTAATAGAGGCAGCCATTCTATTTCTGACCTGTATATTTATAAGTAATTATTTTGTGTTTGGAAGTAGTTTGCATTCTGCTTTCTGCTGCCTGGTAAGGTAGTTGACAAGGTTGTCCTCAGTAGTTGTATAGTAAATGAGATATTCCCAGTGAGACCTTTTCTCAGTTAGTGTGTTACTGTGAAGGTGATGGTTGAGCTTCATTTGGACTGTAGCTGAAAGAAAAATGTCTGGCAGTGAAAATATTGTTTCTTTATGACACTTTCTTTTCTTTTTTTTTTTTTTTGGAACAGCTGGTGGGTATGGTGATCCAAACCCTTGACCTCGGTATTAAAAGGCTGCAATCTAACTGACCAGCCTAGGATGATTTCTTTAATTATTTTAGAATTGCACTGTTGGCCTCAGAACAGTTAGTTCAAGCAACATTTTTACTAATCTTCAGTAGGTCAGCAACTAAGAGCTTAGTGGATTTTGAATTTCCTGACAAGATTTTCTTCTCCCTATTACTCTCTCTCCCCAGATTATAAGCAAACATGCTTAGACAAGAATTCTGAACTTGTTAAAAGCATGGAGAAATGTGGTGAAAAACTGACTTTTTTCCTCTTTCTCTTGGTCAGTGTGCTGGAGAAGAGAAACGAGTTGGTACACGCACAGTGTTTGTTGGCAACCATTCAGTTTCAGGAGCAGAAGCTTACATTGCACAAAGATTTTGTGATAATAGAATAGTCTCATCTAAGGTAAGTTTTTTTTAAAAAACTTAATAGATGTTCATATAGTGAGTTAGATAATGCACTTATTTTTATTTATGCTTCTGAGGAAGCTGGTGTATTTATATATGCATACATGGATGTGCACTTAAACATATCATATACCAACTATGGTAATTATTCCCCTGAAAGGCAGTTTATTTAAAAAAACAAACAACAAAAATAACCCCATCACTTTGCCTTTTAAGCTGAGAGATTATTCACTTGCCCTTCGTTATGACTCACAATACCTGTTGATTATGCGTGTTACTTTAAGCTTTAAAATGTGCTAAAAGCAAGAATTATTTACTTGTGCAAAGCTTCCTGAATTTCCCTTGAATGCTGGACTAGGATGTAAATGATTTGCATTCTTTTAGAGGGTGCTGTCCTGGTATGACTTTCATTTGCATCTCTTTCTGTTCCTCCTGCCAACCCACCCCCACCCCCCCAACGCCCCATTCCACTTTTCAAATACATTACTGGATCAGAAAGGGTGCATTCTGCTCAGTACGCTGCTTGACCCTGTGAACTGTTTAAGAGTTTAATCACTATAGCTGTGTCACCATTCATCTTACTTCAGCATAGTTTAGTGTGAAGAGCAGTGGTCTAGAAGTCTGAACACCTGTGTTTAAATCCTGGCCCAGCCATTACAAGCTCTTGTCACCTTGGCCAAATTAAGCTCCCTGAGTCTGAATGTCCTCATTGGTGAAATGGGACAATACTCCACATGTGAAAACACTTCTTAAAGCTCCTAGTTATCATTCTACAAGTACTGATTTGCTAATCTTTATCTCTGGTTGACCAGGCTAGGTGCTAGGTGCTAGATAACTGGCCCACTGCCATCTCTTGTAGAGTGAAATAGATCTTGATAATTTTTGGTCACTTTCTCATGCAGCCTGTCAAGGCAGAGCTGAGATGTTGTTGATGTTTGGTTCATTGCACATTTGCAATCACTTGGACTTTAAACACAAAATTAGGCCCTTCCTAAAAAAAAAAAAGATTTTGTTTTTCAAACATGCATTTGATTTCTTCTTTGGGTAGCGATAAAGATTATGTCTAGTTAGGAGATTAACATGTAAAATATGGACAGGACAAGTGAAAAATGGTGTTACCTCATGAGCAGATCTATAAGCTAATGGAACACTGTGAGTTTATTTGGATAAAATGTTTGTTTCCTGTTGATCTTATACTCTTATGGTGTTACTGAGACCCCAAGGGTCTGTTTGCTCACCACTCAATAGCCGTAATTGAGAGACAAGAGTTGGTGTAAGGAAAGGTAGCCTTTAATGAGGAAACTGGCAGCCTGGTGAAATGGTGGACTTATTATGTCTCAAAGACTATCTCCATCTCTCCCAGGTTTGTCAAAGGGTTTTATGTAGGGGTCTGTGGTGGAAAGTTGATTCATGGTGACCAAGCAGGGATTTGCAGACATGCTTGAGTGTTTCACATGATCATCAAGGAACTTCCGGGTGGGAGTTGACCAGCGTCGTACTTCATTCTCCATGGGCTCAGTTCCTGTTATTCTCAAATAAGATCAGGTTAGTAAGCTAGTAAAGAATGGCCATCTGGGTTAATAATTTTTCTCTAATTATTTGTGTACAATGTGAGAGCAAGAGTCACTGTGTTCTGGCAATTAGCTGCAGGCTATGTGGCTTAGGTTACAGGAGAGAACAAGTTTTTAAAATCAAAGGTTTAACAAAATGGAGTCACTTCTGTTCAGGGTGTTACAATAGCAAAAATTTTCTTCTCAGCCAGGCGATTATATACCTATGACCCAGCTAGTGAATAGTCCTTTCACTGGAAATTTTGATTCACCCTGTGATATCCAATTAAGCAATCAGTAGTAGTTCTTTGACTCAGGACCATGGACTTGTAGAACTGAAAGGTCCTAAGAGGTCACCGTGTTCAACTTGCTGACTTTACAGATGGAGAAAACAAAGCCAGAGAAATTAAGGTAGTGACATGGTCACCAAGCAGAATTATAGAGCCAGGAGCAGAATTACTTTATAAGGTTTAATGGCTCTGAATAAAGAGTACCTTTCACATATTGTGCTATTTGGGCTTCTTCCTCATTTTCTCCCTCCTTTTGTATCAAAGTAAAGTATAAAATATTGTCTAGGGAATTATTGTTTTCCGCAGTGTTATATGTGAAAGATAGTAAGGTGACATACTGATGATAAAGTGAGTTTTCATTGAACTAGTGATAATCCTTTTGTTGCAATTTACTTTGTTTTCACATTTTAAAAGAATGCATAACTCAATTTAATTCTTACTCTTTATGCATTTAGTAGAATTTTTTCCGTATTTTATTTAGCTTCAGTTTTGCCAGTAGGTAAAACAGTGCAATAGAGTATTTTTTTAAAATAGCCAAGAGACCATGGGGCAAATAAGATCCTGTTTCCAAACAGATTGGCATGCATGCATGTATGTACGTGTGTATGTGTATACACATACACGAATGAAACCAGGATAAAGAAGTGAACATTTCTACATTGAAAGACTAAGACATCTTTTTTTTTTCTTCTGTGAATATTATGTGTTTACAGTTTTTCTGATTAACTGATCTACTTTTTATAAAAGCTCTAGAGCAGAAAAAGAGGAATTGGCAGTATAGTAACTTCAGTAAAAGAATGAAATCTTAATACCATACTTTTAATATAATGAACAATTTTGAGGATAGTATACAGTGTAGTGTTGATGAGCTTCATTCCTGGATACAGAAGACCTAGGTTTGAAGTTAAAGTAAGTCATTTAACTTCCCTACATCTCAATTTTCTTATCTGTAAAATAGAAATATTTATAGTACCTACCTCATGGGATTGTGAGCACGAAATAAAATAATTCACATAAAGAATTTAGTACTGTAATTGGCATGTAGTAACAATCTAATAAACAGTAGCTGCTATTGTCATTTGTGCTTCTGTGATTATTATTATTACAGTACTGAGCAGTGTGGAGAAAATAGAGTAGTCAGGCTCCCTTGCCTCAGGTCTGGGTGGGGTTGGTGTGGCATATTCATTGTAAACAAGCTGTGAGTGGAGGTAGTGTGCATGCTTGCCCATGTATCTTTTTAGTTTTGTTGCTATTCTTGTGTTCTTCAGTTTGTGAAGCAGCAGCTGGCTGGCAGAGAGCTGTGTCTAAAAATAGAGCATGTTTACTTTGCTGGCAGCTGCTCGGGTTTTTTTGGACTTTGCCAGTAGCAGTTGAGTTCTGAGTTTCTCTTTGGACTGCCTAGCTCTCAGAGGCGCTCTCACATGCGCATGTGTACGCGCACGCTGAATAAAGACTACTCTTCCTTCAACCGAGGCTCCAAGGACCTTTCTTCCACTTACCTGGCTTGTAGACCTGAGTGTAAAGGGTTTGTGACCCAGTCTGGACAATGCGCTTGAGGGGTCTTTGAGGTCCAGACCCAGCCCTAGCTCTACAAGCAGCACTATCGATTTCCTCAGGGTCATGTATTTTGAATGTGTGTGGGGGTAGTCTCTTTTATAACACCACACTCTAACCACCTGAGCTAACCAGCCAGCCCAGGTAGTCTCTCTTAAAAAGAGGTCTTCATGTCTACTCTGGAGAGACCAACAGTTTCATAATTTAACTTTATCTTTCTCATATTGTCTTTTGACTATTTGTATTTGTACCAGAATCTTTTAATTGGAGAAATAAACAATATATAGAATATGTTAGCTGCCTTCCAACTTTGTAGCAAGTGTTGATTTCCTTTGTCCACCCTTCAGTAATTAAAAATAAGTCTACCATAATTGGGTGCTTTCTTTATTTGCTTGGAAATAACATTAGTAATGTCATTATAATGCTGGGAATAAATGTTGTTAATGCAGAAACACTGATGACACTTTGACCTACTTCAAATTTTATTTACTTATAAAATTACCGTTCTTCCCCCCCCCCCCCCCCCC